ATCCCTAACGGTCTGGGATTCTGTGATAAATATATACACACAGATGTGGCCTTAAGGACATAGGTGGAATGCTGTATGCTAGGAGAGGAAATAACTCATAGAATAAGTGCTTGCTTCTTGCTTGTGATCCATTGTTTTAGAAATTTGTACTGAAATCAGAAGAAGAAAAATACCACTGGCATAGGCATATACTCCATTGCTTTCAAAACTTTCAGATGCTTTCACAGTTTAACTTCTGTTGCCAGTTTTTCCTGTTTCCACAGGTCATAGCAGCACAGGAAACTAAAAAAATAGTGAGGAAAACACATAGTACTCTCAATGGCAGGGTGAGTTGGTGCAGTGTAGAGCGTGAAGCTGTGGCTTAGTGTTTTTACTCACCTGTAAGATCGGAAACATCATTGTGCTCTGCCTAAAGAGCATCTTATTTCCAGGATGAAATGGTTAGTCATCAACGTGCCTCATAGCCAACCTTCTCTCCAACGTAAATTTGATGATCTTTCAACTTCACCGATTCTTTGACTTATTAATACAATGTCATTTTCTCAAGTAATAGACATACAAGAAGATTTTTCTTTTTTCCTTTTTTTTTCTTGATTCATCAAGACAGAAGGTCTAATAAGCCTGAAAAAATCATCAGAGGACACCCCCCTCCCTTGCCCCAACAATAAAATAAGTAACTCTAATTCAGATCCAGCATGTGGCAAGAAAAGCTGTAAAATGTGTACAAGGAAAATGGATGTGAACCTGAGCTGGAAAAAGGAATTCAAAATTAAATAAAGGGCAGTTATTGATAGTGTGTGTGATTAAGGGTAGAATCTTATCTTAATTATAGAGCTGAGATCCAGAATTACTGCATTGTTTACAGGTAATTAAATCAATGAAGTGATTCAAGATGTGAACTGGTGTCACTGAGATCGAAATCTGGCTGGTCAAGAGAGTGGTTGTTTGGAACGTGGTGTTGTCGAAAGGGAGAATCCAAATTCCGTTCTGAACTCATGTGATTGATGGTATTTGAGCACTTGTAACCTGAATACAGCACTGCTGATCCTCCTTAGACTTCATAAAGCTATTCTTATCCTAAGAGCTACTCACTCCTGTGTTTTACCTCCTTACCTGTAAGTATTGCTTAAAACCCCAGAGGGCACAGAGACATTTTCCTGGGAAAAGCATATTTCTGAAAAAATAAAACCTCTCCTCTGGATATTGGCCCAGATGGGTTTCTTTCCACATTTGTTCTTTCGCTCTAAAAGTTGGATAATCTCCTTCTCAGCAGACACAATTTCAATTGCAGTGTGAAAGTTTTCGGAAGCTAATTATGGACAATTGGAAGTGGGGAGTAGGAATGGGAATACTCAGGTGACCTTAATTCCAGCTGTCACTATTACACGGCTGTAATGAAACTCTAATGCCCTGACATGCCTTTCAAATTGGTTGCACTAGACTTAAGCATGATACTTTAAATCCTAACATTATCCCATGTATTAGTCTTCTTAATTTCTTCTATCCGAAAGTCCAGTCTTTTTTGGAAGTACCATACAAGGTTGGTTACTTCTCTTTTGCAGCTCAGGCCTCCAAGAATCATCCAGGGGAGCTCCTTATTGTAGCACAAACTCAGACAGGACTTACTCTCCTCCTGCCCCTGTCCTTCTGTGCATGGTTTCTGAAGGGAAAGTTCCTGATCTTCTGCTTTGCCACAGATCGTCACATTTGCTCTCCTTCAGGTCCATTTTCTTTGCCTCGGGCAAGCACCGCAGTTGTCAGCCTGTTTGCTGCTGCGAGTAATTGGTATCTCCATTTCTAAGGGGAGTGTGATGTGTCCACATCCTTGTTTGGGACATGCCATGTTCAGCTTCTCTTGTTGTCTCTGTCTTCTCCTGCCCTCTCTCCTGCCCTCTCTTCCTCCAGTCCCTGATAGGGTTCCCAAATAACCCCTCAATTAGAACTGGGACAGGAGGAAGGTCAGGTTCCCAAGGAAGCTGCTGCTGGGTTTGCAGCTCTGGGGGTCTCAGCAGGTTGGGCTGTAAATTGGATGCAAATTGGCCAGCAAGTTGGGTGCTAAGTACAGAATTAACACAACTGATTAGTAGTCATTTGTAGTCTATGATTGCCACAAAACTGGAGAATATGTTCCAATTTATATTTATGGTCAAAAAACTTTAAAACTGAGTAAGAATAGGCTTTATATCCTAAAAAGCTCATGAGGCAAAAGGAAGAATGTAGTATGAGGACAGCTGGTGAAGGACTGAACTGCCAGCAGGCAAAAGAGCAGTAGTATTGGGCAATACAGGGATTTGTGTTCCCAAACCTACTAAATGCTTTTTAACATCCCATGCAAGTAATTCAGTGGGTTCAGCAAATATCCCAGAGGAAAGTTCTGTCAAAGTAGGTTTAAGATAACCTTTCTGATAAATCTTGTTACCTTGTGCGATGTGCTAAAGCAAGGGCTGACACAGGCAGCCTTCTTGGGTCACTTCCAGACCCAGCTACACATCTGGGTGAGCTCAGCTCCTGTCAGCCCTGTCCTGCACTGGAGCACTGGGATCACTGTCGCATGTGACCTACTTCCAGCGCCTGGGGATTTTTTGGGTCCCAGGGAGGCAGGACATAGCGAGTGACTCTGAAATCCCCAAGATTTTGGTAGGTTGCTCACAGGGTTGGCCCTGTTGCCATGGTATGATGTGAGAAAAAAGAGGATAATGATGATATCCAGAGTTCTTCAAGATAGGATAGGATAGGATATTCATCAAGGTATAAAGCAACTTGTGGCTGTAAGGAAGAATTTCCTTTGTGGTTGAGTTTGTACAAGTGGGAACGTTTTGCCCCTCTTACTGCATCTTTGGTACTGGCCACCATTGGTTGCTGTATTGGTGTAGAGGGATGAATGTTCAGGAGTGAAGCCTGGTTTGTCTTAGAAAATTCTACTGCATGGAGAGAAGCTTTGTAAAAAAGATAGAGGATTTGAAATGGAATTAAGGCAACACCAGATGGCATTAAGCTCAACTAGCCAGCAAACATTAACTTAAAGAAAATCTTGTTTGGACAAATGCCTTTACAGCATAAGTTTGATTTACTGGGTCGTGCTGATAGGAGGAACTGCATAACTCAGTAGTGACTTTGCTGTTTCTCAATACTTGAGTGATCCTGAGCCATTCCTGGCAGAATTTCATGCCATGTTATAACACACCATGCTGTCTCAGACGGATCATGCAATCTTGAGACAACATTCAGCCTAAAGCAGGATGTGGCTAAGCAGGCACCAGCAACGATGTCATCTGGGGCTGATTCCTTATACTCAGAAGTTATCAGATGAGTCAGAGATTTCCAATTCTGATGAGAGTAGCTTGACAATTCCCCTAGGATGTGGCAAAACCACAAGGGTGTTTGGGGAGTGCAACTTGAGATCACTGGTGTATTTGCTATAGATTTCTATACGGCCAAGGATATGTTCTGTATTGGAAAGAACCCCCACAAGTGAGGGTCCATGCAGTGCAAAGCACAGCATGCAGCGTCCTTTCTGTAAACCATCTTTAGGAGGCTATGCTTGGGAAGATTGCAGCAGTGTATTTCAAAGAGGTTTATAAATATCCCTCATGCCTGGGAGTGGATGGGACAGCAGTATAAGGGCCCACTGATGTAGCCATAGGTGATTTAGAAAAACAAGTTAAAATTTAAGATGTACCTTAGGCCAAATGGGAAGTGTCTGTGGTGAATGTTTTCTAGAGACTGAGATGGATTGCACTTCTTGTCTCTGTAATCTGTGAGTTTGTAACTGCATGCAGTTTTCTGAATGCTCCTTCCAGCAATACATCCCTTTCCCTGCTTTTAGGTTGTTAACTCGTATTTTTCTTTTCTCAACAGATTGACAAGACATTTCACAATTCCATTTTAAGGAAAAAATACATCAGTTCACGCTTAATCAGAGTGAGGTATGTGAGATTATAATAAATGCACACAGCTGAGATGCAATGAAATGTTCCCCAATCCCAGCTAGAGAGCCACTTGATCTGGTTCAGTGAAGTGTATTTAAGATTAGAGCATAATCCCTGGTTGAGCATAATCTTACTCCAAACCATGCCCTCCTTTGAATTTTGATGCAGAAGACAAACTTCAGTCAGTCCAAATTCTATAGGAGTTTGTGCTCAGATCTTCAGCAAACTTTAGCAGATATAATTTAAGCTATCTAAAAGTAAAAGGCATTTTCAAAACTATTTTCTTCATGACAATACAGATGTCATTTTACTGCTGGTGTTGCTACTGTGCTCGCCTTGCCAAGTAAAACTCAAGTATGGCTGTGCTGGTTCAGAAGGTCCCACTTGATTTCCAGAAGTGGTTGTGGTTTGTTTAGCAGCCCCTGGTGGAGTTATTGTCCAGTCTCTGGACTCTTGAGCTTCATGCACCTCCATCCTTTAGTAAGGAGTTCCTTGTGAAGAGCCACCTTTGGATCAGTCGATGGTCCCTAGTTCTTGTGCTGGAAGAGGTGATGAAAAGTTGATCTCTGTCCCTCCTCTCCATGCAATTAGTGGTATCAGGCACTCCCATCGTATCCCTTTTCTCTCCTGTACCCTGTGCACTCTACTTTCTTTCAGTTGAAAGTCCAGCCTGCTCAGCCATTCCTTGCAGGAACGGTTCCTTGTCACCTTGTCACCCTGCTTCGTATCTCAGGGCTGCTGACCCTGCTTTTGGAGATGAAGGGGTCAGACCTGGGGTTGGGATGATGCCTGCATGATTATTTTTTTCTCTCTTATTCTCTGTTCATTTGCCAATAATACCTAATGTTTGATTTGTGTTTTTGCACACTGTTGAGTGTTGAAAGCAACCTTTTAATCATAGAATCACAGAATGTTAGGAGTTGGAAGGGACCGGGAAAGCTCACCCAGTGCACCCCCTGCCACAGCAGGATCACCAGACCAGGTCACACAGGAACACGTCAGGGCTTTGGGGGTCTCCACACAAGGAGACTCCACCACGTCTCTGGGCAGCCTGGGCCATGCTCCATAACCCTCACACTCACAAACTTTGGCCTCATCTTCAGCTTGAACCTCCTGTGCTCCAGCTTGGGACCATTGCCCCTTGTCCTGGCATTGGACATCCCAGAGCAGAGCCTGGCTCCTTCCTCCTGACACTGCCCTTTCCAAATGGATCCCCAGGAATGAGGGCACCCCTCAGTCTCCTCTGCTCCAAGCTCAAGAACCCCAGCTCCCTCAGCCGCTCCTCAGCAGGAGATGCTCCACTCCCTCCAGCATCTTTGTGGCTCTGCGCTGGACACTTTCAAGCAAACCACCTATTTTAATATCACAGTTTTGTTCCTGAGTGACAGCACCCATTGCTTTGCATGTAAACTTTGAATGTCTTAATAATTTGCATGCTAAAGCTGCAAGACTAATGATATCAGCCTTAAAAACTTACTCTCATGAATGTATTTTTCCTTGTTCTTCCACTGTTTGTGAAATCCTGCCTCCAGCTCTACCTTAGCTTAGCCCCCAGTTAGGCAAATCACACAAGTCACTATTTGAACGTAGCTTTAGGAATGTTTTTAGATACTCACTAGAGCATTATAAGTGTAGACAAGGCAGTTTAAGGATCTGAGAGGCCATTCTGTAGGGAGAAGGTGTATCTTTCATTGCCTCTTGTTCCCAAGTACAGGCTGAGGTACTTGCTGTGATGTTTGCTGTATATTTTTCAAATATCTGAGCTTTATGCTTCTGAAGTGCTCAGACTGCAAGGTCTTTTAAGCAAGGTCATTGTTGTGGATTTGCTTGGCATGTACTGTGCATATTTTTGGTTTAGTATAATCAATACATTAGCAATAATGCCCACTGCTCACTGAGAAAGGCAAAATCTTGACGAGATGTCTTTGGCTTTGGACCTTTGCTATACAGGGAGTGATTCAAGGCAGGCTGTACCGAGCCGAGGGTTTCGAGAGGTGTGGTGTGCTTGCAAGAGCTGATACGGTAATTCCAGTGTGGCACAGGACAGGAAGGGGAGCGGGGGGGAGAGGTGAGGGAACACCTCAGAAATGCCGAGCAACACCCACGGTAGGATCAGATAATGTCTGGCAAATAAACGGAGTGGCAATCATGCTGAAGCTGGCACTAAGGGGAAAAACAGCCTGTTCGAAAGTTCACGTAGTGCTACTTGGTCTCAGTGATGAGATCCCTGAGGCACAGGACACGTCTGTCTGCTCAACTCTGAAACACTCGGCATGCCTCGGTGTGATAGAAACAAATGGCCTTTTATTTGGCCTTCACTGGTGATAGCAGGAATATGTTTCATTGTGGTGTGAGTTTGGTGCCTTCTGGTTTAAATTTTCTGGTTTTTCCATTTTGTCATTACAAATTTCCAAGATAGTGAGATGGAACTGGAAAAGCTCTTTTCCTTTGCTGTCTGAATGATGCTTAAGACAGAGCAACTTGCTTTTAGCTTGGCCCCTGTATGAAGTCAATGTGATTTCACCTGCTGTGGGTTGTGCCATTGCTGCTAGGCTCAGGTAGGAAGAGGCACAGGAGACAGGATTCTTGGTGCATGCTCTTATCTTCCACGTGACATGACCAAGGGTCAGCCATCTGCAAGCACAGAGCAAGATTCACTATGCCAGATTAGACACTTTGGTGTTTGTCATCTAGCATTCAGTCTCTTGCAGTTTCTGATGCTCTAAGGAAAAATAAATAATATTACTGGGTGAATTCTGTCCATTATATTTTTTTTCTTTCCTTTTCTTTCCTCTGATCTTACTTGGGCTTTGCAGTACCCACTTCAAACTGTGAAACTGTGTGTCCTAGCGTGGGTGCAGTTTGGTCTTTTCAGTGAGATGTTAAAGGCGCCTTTTTTGGTCCATCTCTTGGATTGTGTAAGTAGATCATGGATATGCTGCTGAGTTTCATTTATTGTTGCATAACGTGAGGTTATTCGTCCCATTTTCCCAAGAATGGCTGAGCAGATGCTCTGACTTCACATGAGGTTGAGTGGTGGAATTGGACTGTGTGGGCTCTCCCCTTTTCTCAACTACCTTTTTGATGATGGTTGGAAATTTTGTGTATGTACAAGGCCCTGGAAAGGTCTGTCTAGATACCATTAACTTGGTGTTTCTGAAGTGCTGCATATCCAGCTTTTCCTTGCAATCAAATCAGTTCCTTCCTTTGTGCTCTTGTCTCCGAAGTACATGGTCAGTGACTGCTTTTTAGACTCCAGGATCATAACATTGGTCTGGCCATTGGTTCACAGAAAGCATCATGCCTTCTCCTAGCCTAAGACACATTTGACTGTTCAGCTTTTGCTTGGATTTCTTTTGGCAATTCCTTCTTTCAGAAATGTATGAGATGTTCAAAAATCTATCTGATCCCTTAAGTTACATTGCCATTGCTGGAGGAGCTAAGGTGAAAACTAAGAAATGCAGAAGTGTGCTGAAGGTAACCAGACTGTGTTTTGTTGGTTTGCAGCCCAGATGCTGATGGAGTGATGGCAGAGGCTCTGCTCACGTTCTGGTTCTCCGCCACGGACTCTAGAGAAGCATTGCGGGAAAGAATTGAAAGGATCTTACGGAGAGGCCTGAAAAAATACACTGGGCCCCTGCGAATAAATGTCAGATCTTCCACCATCTCAAGTAAGTCTACTGCGTCTCTCTCAAAGCGAGCTCTTGTCCTTTTCTGATTGATGGAACTTGGAGAAAAAAATCCTTGCAAATTCCCTCAGGGGGAAGGGGAAAAGGAGAGAGAAGGTTCTCATCAGTGTGACTCCTCAGGTGAGAGTCCAGCCCCTTCTTTGCAAAGCAGGCCTGCATCTGCAGGATATGAAAAGTAACAGCATCATCTTTCTGATGTAGTAAATTACCAGACAGATGCTAAAATGAGAGTTTCTCTCCACTTCTCATCTGTTAGAGAATTTTGGGCAGACTCTTGTCTCTGTAAATGGCTCAGCTTCAGCATTTGGTCAGCAATTTTTTTGGGTGCTAGACTTCTCAAGAGGCAGTCACAAGTAAGGGGCAGATACTTGCTCTATTTCTTTTTGCAGACCTTCCACTTACCCTTAGCACAAAGGTGACAGCGCACCACATGGGTGGGTACTTCCTGCTTGCTTTTCCACGTTAGACTGCTTAAACCAACAGAGATCTGCGGAGGCCAGACAGCCGTGCTGAAAGAACAAGAACCTTGGGCCAGACTCCATGCTGGATGGATCCAGGCTTCCTCCCACTCAGAAATGCCTGGGAGCGACCTCTTGTTCTGCCTCTTGGTGCTTGAAATGAGCGAGTTACGTTGCGACAATGCAGTGAAACTCAAATATGAGCTGTCATGCACACATTGTTTCTTGATGGGCCAACCATCCTTCCTCATTGGAATGGCTCAGGATGAGAGGTGACGTCCCTTTGGGCACAGAATCACCTTTTCTCTGCAGTGCTGTGCATACTCCAGTAGTTTCTGTTCAGCAAAGTGCATGTGTAGTTCCTCCCAGATAGAAACAGTGTGTGAGCATCAACCAGAGAGATTTAAAGAAGTTGTGTGTTTTGTTTTGTTTGGTTTTTTTTTTAAAGACAGCCAGGTCATGATTTAGTGAATTTTGAAGCTTCAGTTTAATTTGGTGCCTTACATAAAGGGTAAAATTGAAAGGAGTGCAGAAATGCTTGTTAGAAAAGAACTGATCCTCTAATCGAGTTACCTGATGAGCTGCTTTTATTTGGTTTGGTCCATGTGGGAAGTGACTCAAAACTGTGTTTTAGTTGACCTTCAGCTGCACCAGGGTGGTTATAGTAGTGCAATAGTCGCTAGTTTAAAAAATTAGCTGATATAATTGAATCACAATGTTTTCATTAAGCACTTGGTCTCAGTTGAAGATGGCATCTCTGTGTTAATTTGATGAAGTTGTATGATAAACTTCGTGTTGCTTTGCTTGGCTGTCCCAGCCTAACCATAAAACACTGACTACACAGGTCTGCTACTCACTGCACTGCATTGTGCAACCGTTCCACATGAGACAAAGGAACATAAACACCACCTTGCCATTTCTAGGAGAAGACAATGAAAGTTTCCATGGGGACTTTTTGTGCTAATAGGATTTCAGCAGTGCTGTGAGGCTTAGATGAGTTCCTGTTGTTGCTGCTGTTTAAGAAAACCGGATTGACTCAAGTGAAGAGTAAAGAACTTTTGGAGGAGATGCAGGTCTCAACTAAGGAAGTTTATGGTCTGCCCCACACTTGGGAGAAGTGACAATTTTCAACAGGTCCTGAAAGGCCAGAGAGGGATCTAGATTTCGTGTTTCCCCCTTCTCTCTCCCCTCCTGAAACATCCTGTCCAACATTAGTGTTTCAACCGAAGAAAGCTAAGAAGCCCTAGATTTTTTTCCATGCTTTGCAGCACCTTTCTAACTTTTGCTTCATTGTAGCTTTGATGGTTTCGCCAATTGGAATCCTGGTTTATCTTGAAGCAATCCCAGAACATTTTCGTAATGGCTTGTAAAAAATAATTAACCTGTTCACTGTAAGCACCTTATCAAAAGATTCTAACTTGGGGGCCATGATATAGCTTAGCTGAAGCATAGTTAACTAGTTGAACAAATCCAGGTCAGGCACTTATTTACATTGCATGCTAGGAGGGTCTGATAAGGAGAACCTCCTTACGACTTCCTCCCAGGATCTAATCATCTTGTTGTTCAACACCATGTCTCAACTTGCACTTCACTCAGAAGTATTTGCTTTGGGGATCAGCTCCAATGAACTCCTGCAAATCGTATGCAAAATTTGGGATCTTTGGATGCAGTTCAGGGCGGCAGAACAAAACTAAGCAGTCTGCCAGCCCAGAGGTAAAACTTGCTTTGTGTCTCCATTCTTAAGGATTGGAAATAAAGAAGGGATGAAATCTAAACTGACAAAGTTTTATTGGTTCATTTTTTTCAAAAAGAGAGAGAAGCTTGATCATACAGATGTGAACAAATAGCAAGTGTGCAAAACTGAACAGAAAAGCAAAGTAATATTGTCTCTGTTTTGTGTCCTCACTGAACAGATGATGTTCTTTATACAGGACTGCAAAAATACATTTGTATTCAGATGTGTTATTACTGAAGTTCCTGCTTTCTTATTTAGCTGGACTTTATGATTCCCTGGCCAAGGACAGCGATATCGCCAGACATCCATTATAGCTATGATAGAAAATGGGAGGTGATGGAGATCTCTGCTCTTGTGTACAAACCCCACTGGAAACCCAAATATTTATCAGTGAAAAATCAAGCAAACGAAGTCCCATCTTCTCTGAACAGCAGTGCAAGGGCCAGCAAATTGAGATATCAAAGTCGGGTGACTTGGAAACACCCACGTTAGGACTTGCTCATCCACTGGCACTGAAAGAAGGAGGTGTTGCAGCTTGTCCTTTCCATAGTTCTGGCACCAAAGGGATCTCCTATGAGGCTGATTTTTTTCCCCAGGGTTTCTTGGTTAGAAGCAGAGTCATCCCGCAGCCTGGATCCCTATTAAGCAAAGTGTAAACCGTCTTGCCAGATTATTTCCCTTTGTCAGGTAGGTTGGAAGTCTCCCAAAATGTATTTTTGGGAATGTACTCCTGACGTCAGAAAGAAACTGGTTGCAAGATCACTGGCACTGTTCAAAGTGAGTAGGAAGTATTTATTCCCACCTGTTGCACAGCCAAGGGTTTTGACCGTGAACAATGAGTCATGAATTGGTTTTGATCAACAAGTCAACTGTTATTATTTCTATTTATCTGGCATCTGAGGCTTGCTAAAGCTCCTTACGAATACAAAGTACAGAACCTAGGAGACAGATTCTCACTTCTTTGGGAGGCACGCGGATGGGTGTCTGACCTGGATGACTGAGGAATGTTTCATCTCAAATAATGTAGGTAGAAGTCTGCTTTTCTGTTCTGTACGAGCCACAGCAGCAGCCTGGGGGAGTTGGACAGGACATGCATCTGCACACCAGGAAATAGAGTGGAGATCTGACATTCCCCCGCTTGGATGCCATTAGTTTGGCACTAGGTGGTGCATTTCAGTGTAACAGTCTACAGAGGCTGACTGAGATAGGATGGGCTGAAAGGTATTTTAAAATACTGTAGTGGGACCTTGACTGCAGCTGGGACATGAGTGTAGGTCAGGAAAAAATAATGCTAAAAACTGTATCAGCTTGGGTATGCGCTACAGAACTGGTCCACAGTTCCCCGTGCAGATCCCTCCTCGGGCTGCAGGGTACCCAGCTGGAGTTGTTGTAAGGATGCTGTGAGGTGTGGAGCTCTGTCCATCCTCATGGATGGAATTAAGATGTGGTTGATGGGAAGGGGAAGAAGTCATGGATGTGAGGACAGGTCCCATGGACATAAGTAGAGAGGGAAGAGCTGGGTGACAGGGACAATTAGAGGTACAAAGCCTTTGTCTTGTCTGTACCACGTTACCCTCCCCTGTTGAAGGAATGAGAATTGCATGACCGGTATCTAAGCCGTATTTTGCTACTTCCACAAGGGTGCATAACTCCAGGGAGGTAATTGCTGTTGAGAGACTGGGAAGAAGGTTAGTGGGGATGTGTTTTAGGTTGTGTGTGCTGTGTAACACACAGGAGTGTGACTTTCCTGCTGATCCCAAAGCTCATGTTTTGTCATCTTTCAATAAACTCCTGCATTTCCTTTTGGTGAGAGTTTATGAAACATGACTGAATCTGCTGCTCTGAAGGACTGCTTTGATTCTCATGTCACCTCAGGCCTTCATGGTCTTTAATTTAATTAAAGATTAAAATGTAATTAAAGCAGATAGAGCTATTATCCCCACCTCTCTGCACTGCAGGGCAGATATGCACTCTGTGACAACACTTCTCAGTTGCCCAGCTTGGTGACCTACTGAAACTTGCCCGAGATCCTTTCTTGCCTGCATGCACCATTGCTACCTAAAAACCACTGAACTAGGTGAGCCCCCTGGTTCTGATGCAGCTGAGAATTTTGTATTTCTCATTCTTTTCAAGGAAGTTGTTATTAAAAGGCGACAGTGGGGAAAATGCTCCCTCTTTTCCCTGGTGCATTTCACAAAGCTGTGCTTCAAATACATGGCCAAGAATGTGTTATAAGACTTCAGTTCTGCCTGTTATTTCCCTTTTTAATATAAACGCTGACCTCTGGCTAAAATTAAATGAGACAGTGGACACGGGACTAATTCTTCTGATGCAGTGACAGTGATATTATTGAGAGACGTGGCAAAGCGAGCACATTTTTCTGTAGGAGTCTCTGAATCCCTCCAAGGGAAGTGGTCACATTCACTGCAGTTAATTATGAACCTGCCAAAGTTTAGATGGTTGCCAAATAGATCCATGAGCTTTGGGCACTGAATGCCCTTAGAAGTCCTCACCTTAACTGGCTATTGCATATAAAAATTACCAAAATCAAGATGCTTTCCTGCTCTGGCTTACTCCCTGTTGCTTTTAATGCTTGCTCAAACAGATATATTGAGGAGTTATTTAAGATATTCAACAGTAACTGCAATTCACTATTCACTACAGGAAATTAAGACCAATAATTTAAGGGTGTTTTAATGTTATTTCATTTACTAAATATACAAAATAACTGCATTAACAGAATCGGTTGTCCCGTTGGAGAACAGAGCTCTCTTCTGACAGTGGAATCCCTAAGCCCTGTTTCAATAGATCACTGTGATTTTAATTTAGACATTAGTTTTCTTTTTTTAAAGTTAGGTAAGCTTTAATTAAATAGCAAGTTCCATTTTATGGGTAGGCAATGAATGTTCAGGTTGAACTTGTTCTTGTTTACAGTGGAAGCCTGAACACTGTTTTCCTAAATGCAGCACAAACAACTATTTTTGTGGCTGTATGTGGTTGGGACAAGATATGACATTTTAATTGTTACTAATTGATGCTTTTTCTTCATAGTGCCAACAACTAGGGCAACTAGCAAATGAGCAGGGCAGCGAAATTGTCGCTCGTGCCTTACAAGCGATTGCTTCAAGGCAGGGCTTGCAACACGTTGGCTGGCACAATGTGAACAGCTATGCTGGTCACCAGGCCAAAAATGGCAAGCTGGTACCAAAGGAAGGCAGGTCCCTCAGGAGGTGAGCCAGTGAGAAACCTGATTTTCAGCAGTATTGTGGATGGCATCTACAATCAGCTCAGCTTATCTGAAAATCGTGTTATTTACTTCAGGTTTGGGATCTTAGTTTTGAGTCCTGGGTATTGTGCCCTTAAATTTCACCTGCCCTGATCTGCATGATGAGTTCCTGGGTTTGTTGCCAGACAGCCCTGCTTTCACCTCTTAAAAACTCCCTTTATTTTGAGGTTTTCTCTGTTGCTGTGCTGTTTTCTTTGGTACCTGTGTACCAGCTCCTAGCATGGGATATGTGATCAGGGCACTGCATCTGGCAGACCTCTAAAGCAAAGCAGTGCCCCTACCCTGGTGACTACAGCATTGAGTTTATTGATAGATGTCACTGGCCTTTTTCCTTCAACAGTCCTGATAGATAATGAAATATATTAAAATTCAAAGCCATACAGGCATCCTATTTAGTACTTGCAGTGTGCGTGTGGAAGACTTGTTTCTCCGAGTGCACACAAGTCGGTCCAGCTGGAAGCAATGGATACATCTCAGAGCAAAATGTTGCCCAGGTGAGGTTTGCACTTTTTTTTCACGGTGCCTCGTAAAAAGGCAACCAGAGATGTAGACAGGTGCCTTGCAGGACAGCAGCGTGACTCACTGCAAAGCTCCGTGCATGGGAACATGCCAATTGAATTGCTCCTGGCACTGCGCTTCAACAAGCTGGGTGCTCCTTTAGTCTTCTCGATGAGCTTTGCAACATACTGTAAGTGTTAATAATTGACTGCAGGCTTTATAATTAGGCATTATGAGGTAAATGTCTCTCCACCCAGAGAGGAGCTAAAAAAACATTATTATCAATATTGCACTTCAAGGCAAAAGGTGCTCGTTCATCGTTGATTACCTTTATTGGTTTCTTACCAGTTTCTGGCTATAAAATATCAGAATGACCCAAACGCTGAGATGGTTTTGAAGGTTGTATGAATTTCTAGGAAAACACTGGATGCTCGTCATAGTGGTAATAAGTAGGGACAGATATTTTCAAAGCACTTACTGCCAACGTGAACATAAAGGTGAAGCAGCCAAATCCTTAGCACAGCTCAGCAAACCTTTTTTTCCCCCTCCTCAATTGTAACTCACCAAACACTCATGTTTATGCCACCACTGATCTCCTCTGCTGGCCTAGCTTTCAGGTTCTGGTATTACTACATTTTGATGTCGAGGATCTTGGCTACAACCAACCATATTATCCATGGAAATTCATAGAATACAACCGGCATTTCTGGATCTCAGATACCTGGACTTTAGGGTTTTCTCCTTCTTTTATAGGAATTAAGACAGTACAAGTGAGCCTTTTTACTGAAGGGGACCTTGCAAGTTGCTTGCCCACCAGTAAACCTTATTTATCTTTATTATGTGAACAGTTCCTGTTTATAGTGACTAAGACTGTGTTGCTGTATAAATGTCCAATTAGAACTCATCACCCAGTCTTACAAAATAAAGCAGTGGCTGCATGTGAATACGACAGCCTTAGTGCTGCCTGTCCTCTGTAACACTCCCTGCAGTCAAGCCATGCATGCAAGGAATTTCTGTTTGTTTCCTTTTATATTATAATCTGCTTAATGTCACGTTAAGAAATGAATGAGTCCACATCTAGTAATGGTGGATTGCAAACATGCAGTTCACCCTGCATACCTGGAGGAGCGTCAAGCCCACAAGCAAAACACAAGTGATACAAACGCAATAGGTGACAAGTATGAGCCACAGCCCTTTGCACTCAGCAGAGACTTCTCCTGCCTTGGTGTGGTTTTGGATCAAAGCTGGGATATCATTGTGTGTAACGGGAATGAGAAATTAAGTATACGGATAAGGACAGGGATTGCCTGAGAGAGATTATCCAGAAGCAAAATCTGAAATTGTGGATGCTGTATCAGTAGGTAATTTAAGAATTGTATTGAAAGTGTGATTTTTTAATATATTTTTTTAAATTTTGTTTTGACTGCTGGCAACTAAAATGTTTGCTCTAGCAAAAATAGTGTTCTGGAAGAAGGGGAATAGACTCATACCTTGAGCCAATGCTTGTTATTGCCAGCATGGGCAGATTGTATTGTCTGTAAACATACAACATGCACATTAAAGAGGGGGATGTATTGCTAGAACTTGCTGTGCCATGCAATAAATTGCTATTAACTGCCTCTCTTAGTATTAACAGTGCACCATACACCCTATTGCTCAATAAGGTAGGAGAAAGGAGAGTGAGTCACTGCTATTGTAAGCTGTAATTGCTACGGGGAAGTCAGTGCCTTCTGGTCTCAAAGAGGGCATGGAGTGAGTACCAGATCTCCTCTGGCACAAAATGCAGCCAGGTGATTTTTTTACAAAAAAGGAACTTCAAAACTTTCCACTGTAAAAATTTCTCCCCAGCAAAATTGTGGATCTTGAGTAATACGGGGCTAGTTTTGTCTGTGCTTCCCTGTGGAAATGCCAGGGCCCAGCAGGATGGGGGAAGCCCTGTCCCTGGTCCTCAGAGGATATTGGCTGGCAGAAGAACAGCAAGCAGCACCGTGGAGAGGAGCACAATACCCAGCACAGCAACATGACCACACATGAGCTATGCTGGTTTCTCCTGCAGCCCCCCTCAGTCCCACCTCCTGCCATGCCCTGAACTCAAGCAGCTGCTGGGTGGGATGACCATGCTGGTGAGGCCTTGTCTGTGCTGTCCTGGCCTTACCCTCACTGTTTGTTTGTTTGTTTGTTTCAGATATGGATGCGAAAAGAGCAGAAGCCCTCTTCAATGACAGTAAGTGAGGGCTTTTTAAGCCTGGAAAATCTCCAGTTGTTTTAATTAGCATTAATATTCTCCGAGCACCTTTCCTGGCCCTTAAAAGCCTGTTCTCATCCTCCTGTCTAATGAGCGCGACCTTGTACATCACACAGGTGAGCGGTGTGCTTAGAAATCCTGCTCAGTCACGGGGAAGCCTTTTGTCCCTGTCTTCTGGGATACTTAGGAAAACTCACATTACTGTCTTGAAAATAGTGGTGTTGGGGTGAAAATCCCTTCTAGAAAAAGTCTACCCACTGCTGAGTTCCCTGGTCAGGTTTTTTGCAGTGAGATGTTCCTTCTGTTAAAAACATCAGCAGTTTTGTGAGAAAAGAGCAAGTGCTGAGGGTGCTATAGCAGTCCTCAGGGTTGGGCAGAGGTACACAGATCCTGATGTGTGAGTGCCTGTGGCACGCGCTCCTGCCTCCAGCAGTGCTGGTGTGGAAGGTGGAGGTGCATCTTAAATGTAAACCCTGCCATCTAGGAAACAGAGGACTCGGCCGGTGTACGTAGCAAAATTGAGTGAGCAAGGAGGACTTCCAATAAATAAAAGATCTTAATTCTTTGGGCTAGTTGACTGTTTCAACATCGGGCACAGCAGCTAGCTGAAAGGTGTGCCATAACGTGTTAAAGACAGGTGAGTCCTTATCGGGGATTGAGTGCATTTAATACTTAAGCAGGTTATAGTTAGAAGCAATCTCTGTTATAAATAGATTAAAACATGTACTTTAATAGAATACTTTGTCAAGTCTAATCCTGCCTGCACAGGGAAGACACCCTGTCCTCTGTCTCCCTGATGTAAAGTTATTGAACTGCATCTTGGAGCAGCGACTGCAGGATCCGTTTCATATATACTTGTCATGGATGCTGTAGCATAATAACTCATCTCCACCTTGTTGCCTGTTATTTTCCTTTCCGTATATTAAGTGATGTTGTTGAATCGATGCTTTAAGGATGGCAGCCTAGCAGAGACGACTGATATAGGCTAAGTGAGAAGTGCCCTGAAAACCAGTAGGATTTGGCACATGCAGGGGAGTTTGGAATAACGGCTTTCTGTGTGCTCTCAGAAATTGGGAATACGTCGTTTTCTTTAGTGTGCACTGGAAGGAAGAACCATAAGGAAATGTATAGAAGTTACACCTGCCTGTGATTATAATGAAAATGTTCTGGATTTCTGGATTTTGGAATGACCAGTAGCACAAAATTGCTCCTTACGGAAATATAAGGCAATGTGATCGATGTTCTCAAGGTGTTGCTGTAGGGGTTAAATCGAGGTAGTTTGTTTTAAAGATGTTTTTAAATTTTCAGAGAAGGAAGTCAGCTTGTTTGGAGCTTTAATAGTCATTAAAAGCCATGCTTGCTTACAATTTGGGTTTCTTTTAACTTTGGGAAGGTTTGCTCAGTTGCTTAGCAGCAGGCTGTTCAGTAATGGAGGAATAAATAACATCAGTTTCTGGGTCAGATTTAGGTGCTCCTGTTCTGGGGCACTGATGGAGCAGTGAGTTTTACCCTGCATTTTGAACATTGACTGCTCAGGTGGTTGATGGCAAGGTGGAATTAGGACCAGTAACTGAGGATTAGCAATAGCTTTCAGGAGGGAAACTTGCTACTGCCAACAGTCTTTTCAATTATGGTATATTCTGCAGTTTTCCTTTCACATGGACAATCAGCTGTATCTTTAGACTTCACTCATTTCCTTCATTGTGGTTTTAAATCTCAGAACAGGGCAGGCTCTACAGTGGGCATGAGCTGCTCAATTGCATTCCCCCCCTAAATTTATGAACAACTTTCAGTCTGCTGTATTATTGCTGCTGCTTTTGAATATGAGGTACAGGTAACATAACCTTGTGCAGATCCGAGCAGGAAGGGGCAGAGGTTATGCTCTGCATGGTTCTAACATTTCATTTCTGAGGACTTCAAGGACCCAGGGGCTGGCAGCTCTTCAGTGACGTGCTGCCGGTTTCTGCTTTGTCCCCTTCGGGATCACGGCGGGAGACAGGCAGTGCGATGGTTTGGATTGTACTGTCACGATGCCAATAATTGTTAGCTCTGTCTCTTTTTCAATGGATTGGGATAGTCCTGTCTGTCAACTTTCCTAATGTCTAGCTGAAATCGGGGCCTGGATGAAAACTAGTGGGTCTTGGTCCAGGTAAGATGGATTTGATGCTGTTTGAATGGGAGAAGACAGCTGAAGCAGCTCTGTCCACTGAGGAACTTCCTAAAGCTACTGGGGAGCTTCAGCTGCTCCTGAATATCCTGAGTTTAGTGACTGAAACCATGGATATTTACATTTCTCTCTGGGTTTAGAGGATAATTCTTTGTCATGGATGCATGCTGTGCTAGAGGTATCCATGCCTCTGTCGTCTCTGGCGTGGGTTAGTGATGCTCTTTGCCTGTGGTGCCTCTCCAGGTCCACTTGCAGACTGCTGTTTGTGCAATGTGCATTTGCCTTTCCCAGGTGACATCTTGCTGTTGTAATCTGTGTGCATGTGTGGTAAAAACCCATGGCTTGGATCATTCCTGTCTTAGATTTTTCCCTGTTCGTGTTTTATCCTTATGACAAATTACCTGGGACATTACAGTTGGCAATCCCTGTGTCTTTGGGAATGGTCCTGGGTGTATGGTGAAGGGTTTTGATTCCTGATTTGGGCTGCTCACGCAGCTTAACCTGACTTCTTGACTGTCATGGCTTTCCATAACAGTCAGTTGATCATTCAGGCTTGTAACAGAATGGGCTGTGCATGAGGATCTCTGATCTGGGGGCTGGTGGAAGGCGTGTTTTCTTGTTGATGTTAATGCTGTTAGAGATCCTAGGTGGTGTGTAATTTTCCATATGTTTTCCACAGCCATTGGCAGGCGTATTTACTAAATAGAAGAATAACTAATATGCTTTTGCTCCTTTTTGACAGTCTGTGGGTTACGGCAGAATAGAACAGTCAAGTCAATGGCAAAATCGTCATCGTTGCGAATAGTTGGCGGATTGTCTTCTGCAGAGACCGGGGACTGGCCGTGGCAAGCCAGCTTGCAGTACAATAATATCCATCGCTGTGGTGCAACACTCATCAGCAATACGTGGCTTGTATCTGCAGCTCACTGCTTTAGAGAGTAAGTTTCCAGCTTAGGGAGAATCTGCAGCAGAATGTGCCCCACATGTACCAAGCTGTGTGACTTTCCAGATCTGTGCCGCACCCCTGACTCCTTCCAGGGGAACAGTTTTCTGCCTTGGAGGAGAAAAGTCAGGGTTGAGCAGACCCGTCACTTACGTGTTTCAATAGGGAAGTAAAGACTGACTCTTTGGAGCACAACTGGCAATTGTACCAGTGGAAATCAATAGTCATTGGGCATATTCAGCAAAGAAGTGCAGAAGACGTAATGTGACTGAAATGGCAGAGCATTTGTTTCCTGTTGTGCAAAACATTTCTTGGGCTGCTCCTTCGTGTTACAGATAGGCTCTGCTGCTGCAGGCTGCTACCAGAAGCTATAATCCCACATTCCTACCCCTCCATCAGCTACGCACTCCCAGCGCTTTTCTGTTTTAAGCGTGGCAATTGCGAAGCTGGCGGGGTACGTAAGATGGAGCAGCTGGTTGAACAGAACATTAACAGGCAGAAAGAGTAAAGGAGAGGAGGAGTTCTTTAGCAGAAGAGCTGTTTGATCTGGTTACACCCTGCAGCCACACAACGGCTAGATCAAGGACAAGGAGCAGGGGAGGAGTAGGAGACCATGGTTGAGGAGGGACTGCAGGACTGCGCTCTTCCAGCAGCAGCCCATAATTACGTGGGACACCGTATTATGGAAAGTGATGGATGCCTTAGGAATCCAGTAGGGAGCTGGCTTGAAGGAGCTTTTATCATTATAAAAGTTTCAAGTCTCGAATAGTTATATTTACAGCTAAATACTTACAACACTCTCACCTTTTTCAGCATGAGTCACCCTGAGAAGTGGACTGCTACTTTTGGAGCTCACTTGAAACCACCAAGCTTGAAGCGATCAGTCAAGACCATTATTATTCACGAAAAGTACCACTACCCAATACATGATTATGACATTGCACTCGTGCAGCTCTCTAAACAAGTTGAGTTTACGAGCAGCATACACCGTGTTTGTCTGCCTGAGCCATCTCAGACTTTTCCATACAATATTTTTGCTGTCATCACAGGCTGGGGAGCACTTACTAATGACGGTGAGTCCTGAGTGTACCACGCAGCCCATATGTTACATGAACAGTGGCTCTGATCTGCTGATGAACTGACCCCACTTCTGTGGCCTTATGTTATATGGCAGCAAGCTTAATTGTTTGTCTATAAGCAATAGGTTTGGTTAATCATGAGCAGCAGTTCCTTGCTCTAAAATTAGACTGGACAAAGACAGAGCTACAATCCACTGAAGCAGAAAGCGGGAAGAAACCTCCTCTTTCCAGCCTTTCTGTTTCATATTGTAAATTCTTAATACAGGTCGTGTAGCCTTGCACGTGTTTCTAAAGCACCTAAGAAAATATTCTGCCAGCCCTAGCCAGAAGCTACAGGTAACTGCAAGCTTCCAGGAGAATATGCAGAGTGAGCTGCAGATGGTGACTTACCCAAGCTCATGCTCTTATCAGGCCACGCTGAGGGTAGATTTAGCAATCGAACAAAGATATCTTCATTTCATATCTCCTGCCCAAATCGCTAGGTAATTTGCATTTCATGGTATTATATGGAACATCTATAATATAATGGTGTTATACTTTAGGCACTATGTACCATGCAATCATTACTTCTGTCTTACTGGTACAGTTCCCAAGCGAGACTTTGAGTATTTTCCTTAAGGGGCAAATCTAGAGAGAGCAACAAGTAAAACCTCATATTAAACCAAGTTAAGTTGGTCCTCTATAAGAGAACATTAAATGCTCATCCTATATCTTAACTCCTGCAAAGCAATTCTGTTGATAAATACCCAAATGATTTTTTCCCTCAGGTCCAACACCAAATACTCTTCAGGAAGCAACAGTGAAACTTATTGACTCAGACACTTGCAACAGAGAAGAAGTGTACGATGGGGACATAACACCCAGGATGCTGTGTGCTGGATACTTGGAAGGAGGAGTAGATGCTTGTCAGGTAACTGTAGCTGAAAATTAGAAAGAAAATCTACTTGAATGCTAATCCCAGTATATAGCTGACCAAATATTGACTGACAGTGTATTAGTCCTTTAAATAGGCTCCATTCAATCAGGAATTAGGATGCAAAATGACATAGCATTTAGCTGTTTCAGCCTGTAAGGTTTCCAGCTTAAATATTATTACCATGTCATGCTACAAGCAGCATCTGAATTCAGCCTTTGAGGGTGGCTAACATCATAATCAAGTTCTTGATGAAATCCTTTTTGAAATGTTATTGCTGCAAGCGACTGAAAGAATTTGTTGAAAGGATAGTGATTACTGTAAATAAAACAAAGCAAGAAGTTCCTGTTGGCTTAGACTGCTGTATATACTTGTGTTTCCCTGCTTTGTATGAGGAGGAAGACAAAGCAGGTAGGGAGCAGTGTTTCATAAAACAGAAGTGAAGCTTTTTTGGCTTTTTTTTTTTCTTTTTTTTTGCTCCAAATGAGAGAGGATTCTGTAAAACCACAGAAAACAAGTCGGGAGGGCAAGTTTCAGAAACAGCCTGGAATCTGCACAAATGGCAGCTCTTGAAGCTCTGCTTGCTTTCTTCTCTTGTTGGACACATCCCCCTGTCCATAAAGAGAATTATATTTTCCCTTCTGATGGATTAAATCTTGTATTTTCCCCTCCTCTTTCTCTAGGGGGACTCTGGGGGACCGTTGGTTACTCCAGACTCTAGACTGATGTGGTACCTTGTGGGAATAGTGAGCTGGGGAGACGAATGTGGCAAACCAAATAAACCTGGAGTTTACACACGAGTGACTTATTTCCGTGACTGGATTACCTCAAAAACTGACATCTGATTCCACAATCAAAGATGGATGTAACCGCACAGACTACGTGTAACTCATATGTGTCTGTAATTCTGAAAGGTTATATTTTTGGTATATATATTCCTATGTAGTTTTGGTTGAAGCAACTTTGCCCTCAGCAAGCGCTATCTTTGCTGTCAGAGATCCTAACCCCTTGTGAACATATCTGAAACATATGAGGTTGCCTGTCTCGTCTTCGAGCCTCAAAATGTTTTCATTTATCAAAAACTACGAACTGACGACATTAAACTAACATTTAAAAGCTACCAGTTTACCTGCTTTATAAATACAAACATTTTCCAGGATAAAAAAAAAAGACATTTTTCTTCAGTCACAGCCGAGGTCTGAAGCTGAACCTTCTTCCTCCAGTGAGGCAAATGCTGTCACAGCTGTTTTTTTCAACCAAAATGAACCCTTGATTATTGTTCTTGTTAGAGGCTTTCATCTGCACAGACTGCAGTCGAGACCCTGGCTGCTCACCCTGCCTTGGTAACAGCTAACAGGGGGTCAGCCAGGACAGCAGGAAGGTCCTAGCTAAGGAAAAGGTGGATTTCTGTACTTGCAGTAAGTTGGAAAGGAAAAGATTGAAGTTTGACGTTCTTCTTTTGAAGCACATTTTTAACAGAAAGTTGGTGGTGGATTCTGTGAAGTTCAAGTGACTTGGAAGTGCTGCTGTGGAAGTGCTTTATCACAACACTGTGCTGCTACCGCTGTGCCAGTTCCCTTTTAGACCTGCTCTGTTAAGCTCACAATATGCTTAAGCTGCAGAAACACAAGCTCTACCAAATTAGCTTGGACTAAATGTGTCCCCGTGAACAACCTCACTGGAAGGAAACCCAGCATTTAAATTTCTGCTAAAGGAAAAATAAATATTCACCACAAATAAACTGAGAACTACCTTTCTGATCCGATTCAAGAAATGGTGTGCTTTCCCAAGGGCATGCCAGCCAGAGGAAACCACCTCGCTGCAGAGAGAGAAATAGTGATGAACTGTCTTGCTTCACTGGTGGATTCATCTCTGCCATCAATAAATATGAGGCTGAAGAGTAATTTCCTATTAAGGAACAGTCCAGATGAGATCTTCAGAGTTAAAGCAATCCTCACACGTGGATTAAGCACTTTTCCTACCTCTGTGCATGGTATCCCATGGATTGCTGCTGGAAGGGGGTCCCGTGACCTGACTGTTACTGTCCCCTAGAGCCCAGGCCTTCAGCACGAGGATCCAAAACCCCACTCCAGTACAGTCTCCTTCTGCAGCCTCCGAATGGCCCCAGGTTGCTCAGGCTGGGAATGCAGGACTCGGGAGTCTGTACGAGACACGGAAGCAGCTGCAAGCCCTGCAGCTGAACCTACCAGAGCTGAAATCTCTCCGAAACATCCTCCCTCCCCTTCTGCTCAGGACTGGGTCTCTCCTCAGCCTCCCCACTGTGCGAGCTCTTCAATAATCAGCATCCCTGGGAACTTAATGCTTGGCATTTCTTGAAAACTCACACCCTGAATCAGAAGCCTACACATGGATGGAAAAGCCCAAGTTTAAGCCTCGGTGGTGGCAGAAGGGGTTGTCTTATTATTAGGCTCCCTCCAGTCTTTCTAGCTACCTTTTGAATTTCAGTGAAAGACAAGATGCCTTATCTCAGAGAGAAAAATCTCAAATTATTTAGTTTAGTTTTGGTTTTGAAATAGTAGTATCTTTATCCTGATTTTCCATGTCCATTAAAAGTTGCCAAGGATCTTGGGACAGTTAGGAGGATAGTTAGATGCAGCAAATCCGTTTCCTTAATTTATTGATGAAGTTTGTAATTTATGCACTTTTGAGTTGCTGCTATTTTTCAACTAAGAATTTACTCTGGGCCAGGTTCAGTTACAAAATAGAAACTTCATGGAGTTCTGGATTAGGTCACCTGGAAACGCCGTTGTCTTCTTGTGTTCAGGTCCCCCTTTTTTGGAGGCATCCTTTGGAAAAAAACCCCCAAACATCAAGGGTTTTTGTGCCTTTTATTGTTGGTGAAAATCATGACGAGTGTCCTCCTTATAATTAACTGATGAATGGCAGTTCAAAGAGAACAGGAGTTCACTTTCAGAGTGAGCTAAAGCTTTGGTTTGCACTTCAATGTATCTTTTTGCCTACAAAATGGAAGCGCAACGATAAGGGGGTGAGGCCCAGATTAGATACAACCCCTATAAACTGGTTCCTACCTCACACTGCAAGTGGCATGTATATATAATACCTTGAAAATGAGAAAGGCAGCCTTTCTTTCAGGTTTTCTTGTGAGAGGCCGACCAGCCAAGAGGTGTGTGGGAGAATGTCTACCTTACTCAGGGAGTCCTGAGCCAGCCAGATGCACTTTTCTTCACCAGTTTTTTAGCAAACTGTCTGGCCTGGGTTTGTCTTACACTCCATGTCAGTGTTTTATTTATGAAGTCTCTGTTTTCTGCCCTAGAACAAAGCGAAGAGAATATTGTGTGATTAAAGAGTTTTAAAAAAACCTTTTGTTATCGTTGATGTTAAGCTTTAGCAAGGATTCAAACGATATAAAGGTAAAATGTTTCATAACATTAAATGTATTTAAAAACAACTGCTTTTTTTGGGTCTTTTTTATTAATAACTGAGCTAAAAATTGCATATGATTCAAAATAGACTGATCTTCACTATTTTGATATAAGAACTGTTCTAAAACTGCAGTGCTCTGTGTTCATTCCCTGCCCTAGGAATTGTTTGTCTTTAACAGTGGTTGGAGCTTTACAGACATTTCAGCAAAGCCAAGGTGAGACATCCCCTTTTCTAAAATACTCCAAGGTGAATTCCAGTTCACCTCTGTGTTCCAAACTTCTGCTTATTCAAATGGGATTGTTTGAGGCTCGCCAATGCTAATTTTCAGTCTGGAGCACAAGTAGGAGAGAAGTAAGAGGCTGATTGCACAAGACCTCATCACGTGAGGAGGTCTGGTTGAATGGCATCAAGCTGTCACCGGGATTCCTTAAGTAAGTAAAGCCTGTACAAGCTCCACTTCCATACCTGCTGCTCCCATTAACAAATTAGAGTAGCTGAGAGCCAAAAGTTATTCTTTATCCCAACGAATATTTATCTGTCAGCCTGCAGCCTGCGTTAGAGATGCAAGTGGATGGAGAAGCTGGCTCTTGCTTTTGGAAATGCATTCATGCACGTGTCAGTGTGGGATCAGCTTAGGTAACTGGGGCCTTTGATTGACCGTGGGTCAGTCCACTGCTGGCGTGGATTAAAAGTCCTTTGTGCACTGGCTTGTGCTCTAAACTGAACCGTGTTGGCCTTAGTACTTTCAAATAACACATTTTTGGGGGAGAAAACTACATGGAGTATTGTCTCCTAATTTGCTTATTAACTAAATAAATGGGAGCAACAAATGCATCCCCTAGATCCTGTTTTGGAGTCCCCATTAAAAATGTGAAATTGTGCCTGGAAATCGAGAAATTAAAAGTGCAAGTGGCTGGGATTTTCCCCAGCAGATGGAAAGGAGATGTACAGCTGTATCAGCTTCAGCTCCTTTTGAAAATACTGCCTCTAAAGATGTTGTCAATACTTGCACACAGAACGGATCTACACTAGTGCACATAAACTGAAGTCACAGGGATTTTGGGCACAAATAGGCTTGAGTCCAGAGCTGGTGGTGTTCTCCTGACCAGCTATAACTGACTTTAATACAGTACACATATGGAGTTGGGAATTTTATTTCTTTATTGATTTACTTAACCAAATTTACTAAGATTGTAGGGTTACGTACATTTTTAAAAGAGGAGGTTACGGGGGAACAGAAGCCTAGCAATGACTTCTGCCAGCTCTCTCAGCTCTCGTGAGTGCAGCCCATCGGGGCCCATGGATCTGTAGATGTCCCGTTCCCTTAGTTGTTCTCTAACCCAATCTTCTCCAACCAAGGCAAAGTCTTCCTTTTTCCTGACTTCCTCTGCAGTAAGTCAGATGGCTCCAGATGTTTCAAATTCTGCATTCTTGGAAAATAAGAGCAAAATCTGTGTGGTTTTTTGATTTGGTGCCATCAACCTAGAGGACTCCTGGGTACAACAACTACTAATTGATGCGTTTTGGGAACCAGTTTCTTTGGCTTCTGGGGTAAGCAGAGTATGTGCGTTTTTATTTATTATTTTATCTTAGAGTGCTCCTGTTCATGGTGTCACTGATGGTCAGTCTTTCCTTAATTACTGCTAAATTGCCAGGCAAGAATTCACTGGATGTTGTCGTTTCTCCATTTAGGCAAAGGACTTTCCTGTATTCGCTGTTTTTATGCAAAACCTGTTTCGTGTGAGATGACTGCATATCAAAGTGACTGGTATCTTAAAAAAAGCAATAACCAGGACAAAAAGATTTTAAAAAAGGTATTTTTCCCAACACATTTGATTGGTAAGTTCTTGAAAATAAGAAGTGTTAGTTTAGCCTAAAAGTTGGCAATACTGAAACAGGCTCATCTTCAAGGAAGGAAACCACAAAATTAAAGGTAAAAATGACCTGACAGAACTAAAAATTAGCAAAGTGGCAAAACTAAAGCTGGCATTTTTTGCTCTCTTTAAACTTCACGTTTTTTTCCACCTGCTATAGCTGGGCCTGCTGTTCATTCTGTTCATCAGGTACGTGCACTGCTCTTTGAAATTACTTTTCTGAAATAACAGAAATAATTTTATTCCTGTATTTTCTTGGGTTTTTTTGTATTATGTGCAAAAGCTACAAAGCAAATACCAGCCATTTATTAAATATCAGGTCCTTTACCGGTAAGAATTGCATTCGTCATCCTGAGGAACTGAACTGCTTTCTCCCTTTGCCCATTTTTCAGTCCACGATTTCAGACTTCTAGTGGCCTCTAGTGGTTCTGTGAGATTTTATTTCTGTGACACACCAAAAAAAAGCTACTTAGGAGACAAGTACTTTCCCCCTGGTCCTGCTTAAGCTCATTTGAATGAGCTCGGTGTTGTCCTCCTGCTCTTGGTCTTTGTTACTAACTCAGTAC